TCAAGAAGGAATAAAATTCCCTCCTAAATTCCTCATCAAATTGATGGCTTTCTTCACAGTCTCAATGGACAAAATCCAATCGCTAGTTTGCTGATGATTTTCAAGGTGACTGTCAAGGTCAAGAAGAACTTTCAGACTTCTCTTGGCTATGGCCCATGAACTCCAGTCCTTCAATAGGAATCTCCTTCTCCTTTATTGCTTTCTGAACACACTGCTGATAGCGCTTGAAGAGGTCGGTGCACGGGTCGTGGTGTTGCAATTTTCATATACTATGTTTTATAAAATGAATCACCCTTCGACCCTGCTCATCATTACCCTGTCTTTGCACCCTGATCCTTCCCCTTCTCCTGCTCCGTTTTTCCACCATTTGAATGATTGTATGAAACACAATGTTAATGAAGAATAATGTGAAACACAAGTGCATACAAACATTTTAAGCAAACTAATATAAATTTTTTTAAAGGTCAATTTGATGTCTATCTTGAAATACTATGTTGTGAGTGATAGGATAATATCTATATGCATACAAGGAAGACCTATTTAAATGACTATTATTCAAATATATCTTCCTACATCTAGAGCCAAAGAGGAAGAAATTAGGAATTTTTACCAAATTTCACAGTCTGAAATTGACCAAACATGCAATCAAGATGTTTTAATGACAAATGGTCACTGGAATGCAAATGTTGGAAGCACTGAAGAAGGAATGTTGTTGTTGTTGTTATGTGCTGTCGAGTCGCTTGCGACTCTACATTGACCCTATGTACAACAGCCCTAAACTCTGCTCAGTCCTGTGCCAACACACCCATCCCGATTACCCCAGTCACTGAATCAATCCACCACATAGGGGGTCTTACCCTTCTGCGCTGTCCCTCCACCCTACCAAGCATGATGTCCCTCCCCAAAGACCAGTCCCTCCTTGCAACATGTCCAAAGTATGTTAGATGGAGCCTTAGAATCCTTGCCTCCAAGGAGTAGCCTGGTTTGACCCTTTCCAGGATGAATCTGTTTGTTTTCCTAGCAGAATAGAAGTTGGAAAATAAGGACTTGGTTATAGAAATGAAGTTAGGAATAGAATAATTGAATTTTACATTTACAATACTTATTCATTGCAATACCTTTTTTAAGACACATATTACAACTTTACACACAGATATCACCTGATGGGCTGAATAAAAATCAGACTGACTACATTTATGGAAGAAATCTTTGGAGAAGTTCAATATCAGCAGTCAAAACTAAGCCAAGATAGTCAGACCATCAATTACTCATTCCAAGTTCAAATTGAGGCTGAAGAAAGCTAAAATAAGTCCACAGGAACAAAGATATGGTTGGTTCTATATCTGGATTCCATCTGAATTTCAAGATCATATTAGAAATAGATTTGAGGCATTAAAAACCAATGATTGAAGACTGAATGAGTGCTGGGATGATATCAAGGATATTATCCATGATGAAAGCAAAAGGTCATTATAAAAACAGAGGAGAAAGAAAAAACCAGAATAGATGTCATAAGAAACTCTAAAAAAATTGTACTAAAGTGTCAAGAAAGCAAAACAAAGGGAAAATATAACCAAGTAAAAGAGTTGAACAGAAGATTGAATAGGGCAGCTTGAGAGGACAAAGAGAATTATTATAATGTAATGTGTAGAGTGCTGAAATTGGAGAATAAAAAGGGAAGATAATCATTCTTCATTTCTCAAGCTGAGAGAACTGAAAAAAAAAATTAAATCTCAAGGCACAATACTGAAAGATGCTATGGGCAATATACTGAATGAACTAGAAAGCATAAAAAGAAGATAGAATACAGAGAGTCACTGTACCAAAAAGAACTGATTGACGCTAAAAACCTTCAGCAAGTACAATGTGAACGGGAATCAATGAATACTAAGGAGGAAGTGGAAGCTACATTGAAGGCAGTGGCAAAAAATAAGTCCCCAGGAATAGATGGGGTACCAATTAACTTGTTTCAATTAACAAATGAGGCCTTTGTTGCACTTACCAGTCTATCTATGCCAGCAATTTGGAAGACAGCTGTCCAGCCAACAGATTGAAAGAGGTCCATATTTGTTCCTATTCCCAAAAAAGGTAAATTAAGAGTGGGGAAACTATTGAACAATATCATTAATAACCCATGAAAGCAAAATACTTGTGAAGATCATTCAAAAACGGCCAGAAAAATACTAGATAGGGAAATTCCAGAAGAAGTTCAAGCAGGATTTAGAAAAGAACTTGACACCAGACATATCATTGCTGATGTCAGATGGATCCTGGCTGAAAGTAAGGAATACCAGAAGAATGTCTATTAGTACTTTATTAACTATGCAAAGACATTTGACTGTATGGATCATGACAAGTTGTGGCAGACATTGAGAAAAATAAGGGTCCCAGTGTACTTAACTGTGTGTTCATGTGAAACCTATACCTGGACCAGGAAGCTGTTGTATAAATAGAACAGGAGAACACTACATGGTTTAAATTAAGATGGGAGTGTGTCGTGTGTCAGGGTTGTATTCTCTCTCCATACTTATTCAATCTGTATGCTGAGCAAATTGGTCGAGAAGCTGGACTCTGTGAAGAAGAATGTAGCATCAGGATTGGAGGGAGACTTGTCAAAACCATGCAGTATGTTGATGACACAGCCTTGCTTTCTGAAAGTGAGGAGAACTTGAAGCACTTGTTTGAAAACATTAATGCCCCCTTCGATATGGATTACATCTCAATGTCAAGGAAACAAAGATTCTTACCACTGAACTGATAGGCAACATCATGATAGATGGAGAAGAGTTTGAAATTATCAACAACTTCATATTACTTGGATTTCCAATTAACAGTATCTAATTCAGGTCATGGTCTTTCTGATTGTTTGCTATACATCTGAGAGGACAATGAATCAGGGTGACAGGAAAAGATGGCCAAAACAACAAACAAATGTGTTTCAGAGAGAGCACAGCCAGACTGCTCTTTGGAGGCAAGAATGATGTGGCTTCACCTCACATACATAGGTATATTGCCAAGAGGGGCTATTCCCTGGAGTGGGACTTAGTGTTTGGAAGGGTGAAACACTGGTGAAGGTGAGGAATACTCTGACTTGATAGACTGACACAGTGACAACCACTGTGGTCTCTAGTATGTCATGAAGTGTGAAGATGGTACAGAATAAGGGAAGATTCAAATCTGTTCTTCATGGGGTCACTATAAATCGTTCTCAACTCAACAGTATCTAACAACAACAACATGGTCTGAGAGGATACTATTATTGCAATGATTTTTAGTTCGTTGAGGCTTGTTTTGTGTCCTAAGATTTGATGAATTCTGGAGAATTTTACCATGTGTACTTCAGAAGAAAGTAAATTGAGTTCCATTTGAGTGAAGTATCATCTATGCATTTGCGAGATAGAGTTGGCTAAGTATGTAGTTTAATTCTGCGTCATTTTGTTGTAATGGTGTTGAGTTAGCCTGTCCTTTTGTTGCAGACTGAGGGTAAAGTATTTTTATATTTATTAATAATGAGACGGACAACCAGAAATGAGATAAAACAGCTAGTGTAAAAGATATAAGGCCAGGAATTCCAATGACTGAAGGGTCTCAAGCCACACCTCTCTGTATATTTATTGAGAATCAGGGGAAGCATATCATAAATAAAATTCTCTTGTAAATGAAGCCAAAACTGTCAACCTGATGATTTAGCTCAGGAAGGAAGCATTTAACAGGTATTTACTCTCTCTCAGTAGGGGCCCCCTAGTTGCCTCTTGTCTGCAGGAAATAGCTCATTTCCTGTAATATGTCACAAGAGAAATCCTAACTTATAAATTTGTAATTCCTTCAACTCCTGAACAAGTATATGTTTTTTCATAAAATATATCGTATGAAATTTGGCTTCCCATAACTTGGTTGAGAGCGGTATGTTAAAGTCTATTCTATTATTGTGGTGGTGTCTATTTCTTTCTTCAAATATGTTAACTAGTTGTTTCATGCATTTTGCATGTCTAAACTTTTGATGTATATGTATTAACCAAATAATGGCTTCTTGATCTAGTGTGTCTTTAATCATTACCTAGTGACTTTCCTTTTTCTTTTTTTTTTTTTTTTCTCCTTCAATGCATCTTATTCTTATTATCTAAAAGATTACACAAAATGGACTGTCTTTCTAAAAACTTATTGCCACTATTTATCCACTTTGTATGTCCGTTGTTTTTTTTTATTTTTAACAATCTTTTTTTTTTTTTTTTTTTTTTTTGGTGGTTTTCATCTAAAGTCTATTTTATCAGATATTAGTGTTTCTACTCCTGCTTACTAATGGATATAATTTTCTTGGAATTTTGATTTTGTGAATTTGTTTTCCTTTTCTTCAGTTTTAATTTGGACTTGCACATGGGAGATTACCTAGCGCTTGGCCTGGTTTTGACTGCTAATATACAGCTTCTCCAAAGATTCTTTCACAAATGTAGTCACTTTGATTTTTTTAGAAGATCAAGGACTATAGCCATTAATGTGGACTATATCTCAACACCAAGAAAACTTCACCACTGACTGGGCCAATAGGCAACATCATAATATTTTTGTTGTTGTAAGATGCAAACAATTTAACTATAATTAATAGCAACTCTGTGAAGAATAGATCTGAACCCTATCCTATCCCATGTCATCCTCACAATCTCTGACATGGTCAGACTCATTGTATGCGTCATTACATCAGTCCATTTAGTTGAGGGTCTTCCTCTCTTTTGCTGACCATTCCCCTTTCCAAGAATGATGCCCCTTTACATGGAACATACTCAAAGTACCTAAGATGGTGCTTTGCCATCCTTGTCTCCAAAGAGCATTCTGGCTGCATTTTCTCCAAGATGTATCTGTTTTGTGGTTTTGGAAGTCCCTAGGATATTCATTAAGGAGCTCTGGTGGTCAAGTGGAAAAAAGCTGCACTGCAATCCTGAAGAAACATGGTTTGAACTCTGCAGAAGAAGGTTGGTCAATCTACTGCCATGTGATTAACTGCCTCTGAAAACTCACTAGAGGGTCAACTATGGGTCAGTTCCAACTCGACAGTGCATACTAACACCAATAATAACAGAATAGTCAGTACTCTTCTCCAACGCCATAGATTAAAGGCACCAATTCTTCTTCTATCATATTTATTCACTGTCCAATACTATAATCAATATAAGTGACAGAAAAGATGATGGTCTTAGTCTTCAAACTAACATCATTGGTCCTCAGGAATGGAAAATGGAGCTCTCTTGGCCAGGTAAG